AATAACAACAGAACAGTTTAGACACACGAAAAGAGACAGATATCATTACAAAAGACTTTTTGTAACAGGTTTTACCATAGCAGGAAAGCAGGAGGCAGCTGCACTAGAGAAATGTGCAGTTTATTCTATACACACAGCAGGCCAACACCTCTACTCTTCCAAGATGGGGGCAGTCTATCTTTAAGATGGAAAAAGAAGGATTCTCCTCTCTTCTATTCAGTCAATGTTTATTTATATTACACTTCGGCGATCAATAAACTCAATTTCCCATAAGCGTACCCGACCATCATCTTGCTTGTGAGAGATTGCGAATTGTGAATTTTATCGATACCTGTGGGGGACGTGCCTGAAGTTTAACAACAGGAAAGTTAAAGCATCGCTCTTTCTGAATATCAATTTCTCTTCCTGCTCAGAGGCGGTTTTTATGCTTGGCAGATACTGCTAGCTATGCCTGGCATTGACGATGGCTAGCAATTAATTGCAAATTTTCGCAATCAGCACCTGCCTATTTATTGCTAGCTACTTCACAGCCAAGCAAGATGAAACTGAGAAAACAGCCCCAGTGTCAGAATTTAATCATTTGTCCTGCAGCGATCATTCTACAATCAATGATGAGGACATTTAATGTGGGTTACAGTGAAACCAAGAAATTACAACCACCTCTCTGACCGTTAGCAATATATTACAATATGCTTCAGTGGACAATCTGCCTTATAGCAAATACTGCAATAGCTACCAAGTAAAATCCATCACAATAGTTGCATCAATAAAGCAAAGAGACTGATAATCAGTGAGACACAAACAAAGCGTTTCCAATTTAAGAAACACTTAAGGCACAGGAACCACAAATACATATAAATTCTGCTCTGGCAGTCTATAGAATACTCAAAAGAGCCGATTGGAAGCAATTTTAATGCTTGTTTTCTTGTGCATTTGCACCCCAGGTTGACTTCAATGTTACACTTATTTAGTTGAATCAAGAACAGTGCAGGTTACCACATTTTGTAAGGGTGTTCGGTTATTCACATCATGGATGATTGAAATGGATAGAAATTACTTTTTACCCCCATTACAGCACCCCACTCCAGTGAGTTCATTTAGAATGAAAATGTGTATAGAATAAACAGAATACAGCCACACAGAGAGGGAAGCTCTGATGATATCTCAGGGTTTGTTTTTCCGATGTTCAGTTCTCACGATGTTTAGTAACGTAAATGTAGTGTTCTACTGAAAGCTGGGGTGTTAAGCCTGGAGTAAAAATATGTACCCTAACCGGCTCTGTAATAAAGAAACAGTGCTTCCCAGCACATTGTCTTCTGGTTTGTTTCTACCGAGCTGTCAAGTACTCAACTGTGGTAAAATCAGTGGTAAATAAACCTATCATCACATAAATGTAGTAAAAGTGCTTAGCTCCTAACAAGATAGAGGATTAAGATTACTTAGTTTTTTTTTTTCTAGAAGTAGCTTTAAATGTCACACAGCTTAAAAACTGAAAAGAATTTAAAAGGTCTAATTTGCAAAACTTCAAAATATAAAGTCATGGGATCAGCTGGAGCAAACACTAGTTAAGTGGCCACAGCTCAGCTTTATTCTAATTTGTTAAACATCAACATCTGTAAAAAAATGTGTCTAAAATAGAATTCAGCAAGGACACTGGGGTTAGAACTGAAATCTGAAGTATCGCGCCCCCTTACAGCACAGTGACCCTGGTACGGATACTGGGGGACTGGTTCAGAATTTGTGGCCCAGAGGCCACCTACCAGTCTACCAGTAGCACTGCAGATAGGGTCTCTGGGTTTGAAAGAATAGGTATACCGCAATGCAAATGACACTTCTAAAGCAAGACTCTGGACACTGACCTTTATCCGGGAGAGTTCCTTGGCTACACAAACTATAACAGTAATGGTGCCTGTAGCCAAATAGACTTGGTGCAATTAGACATGTGCCATTACAAACATGGAAAGGCCAAATTACACTTGAAGTGGCTAGCAGGAATATTTCTAGACTAGTGGTAAAAAAAGATTAAATTCATCGCATGCTTCCAAAAATCTTGGACTTCCTTTTCTCAAAGCAGTCTAATAGGTGACATGGACTTAAGTGTCAATGTGTTCTGGGCAACCTCCAAGTCAAAACTGTAGAGGACAGTGACAAATGATAACGAAATGGACAATTTGTGAGTACATGCTTACTGTGGCAATCAGTTTAAAATCATTACTACGTGCTCCAGAAAAAAAGAGCCTTACTGAAAAATCTACACTGCGATTAGTGGATGACGATTTTCTTTCATGTCACATGAACAGGATATATTGACACATGAATATACATGTGCTAGGGTTATGAACGCAATAAAGGAATAAGTAGTTTAGTTGAGCTGAATGGAGGGCAGATAAGGTTTTACCACAACTGATGCAAGCGTGATTATAACACAAAATCATGCCTGTTAAATGGCACAAAGGTGTTCTCAAGCACAGTAGAAAAGTGGGTAGCAAAATGATTGACCTTAAAACACATTTGCTCTAATGTTGCAGCTGGGATTGTTTCCGAATCGAGGTGGCGGAGATATCATTGTTGCTTCTCTCGCTGTGCAAAATATTCTGTTACATCAGAACAGTCGGCCCTGGAAATTGCTTACCTTAAATCTAAGCAACCACTTAATACATAAATGAAGCAAATGAAAGAGGTAAAGAAAAAAAAACAGCATTGAAAGGTTAGTTGAAAAAGTTTAGGAAATGGAGACAAAAAAATACAGCATTCAGCATTCAACAATGTGTCTCATAGGATATCCGAGAAAGTGGGTAAAGTTACACATGGGATGAGGAGAGAGAGTTTCAGATGAAGAACTATTTTTGCAAGATGCAAATTTCGACAAACCCACAGAAGCCATTTCAGTCGAAGGGAATTTCAATAAAATGGGAACAGGATTTGTTACAGCCATCTTAAGCAAGGCACGAGATTCATGGAGTCTTCCTGCTATTAATTTTTATTACTATTCTAAATGGGTACAACAGTAGAAATAGTACTGCCAGCCTCAGAAAAACCAATACAATAGACATCTAATATTCAAAACCTATAATAGCAATAACAATAAATTTCAATATAATAAAACACAGCATGCAACTCTGAGCTTGGGCACTTAAAAAAAAGCATGTTTCTTTTGTACAACTACAGCTTAGCTATAGTAAAACATGGAGGAGTGTTTATAATCTTTTTTTGTCTTTGAAACAACAATTTTTATTTCAGTTTGTGTTACAAAAACATTTCAGTAACTTCTTTAAAGTTAAGAAAAAAAAATGTTACAGCAGTAGACAGCGCCTAATTGGTAAAGTGACACTTTTGTGAAGTCATGGTGTTTATTTGCTTATATAATGGCAAGACTAATCTACAACCTTCTTAAGGAACCCAGGTCCTCTAATTTTAAATAGGATCAACTGACAGCAATCTCATTTTGAGCGTCGAGATTGGGATAAGGACTGGATAAGATGATAGGTTAGTCTGAGTTCTTATTTTTATTCCAAAATTGTCCCTGAGGGTCTGGGCTATACGTTTGTTTTTTTTAAATCCCAGCCCTGGCTTATAGTGCATGTATTCCACCTAGATGCCGCAATGTTGCTCACCCGTTACAACTTTAATTCACAAAACGCAAAGAAAGCACAATCTCTGTGCTGCTGCTCTGAATATGTGGCATTAGACTGCAATGTGGTTTTTGATTAGCTCAACTAGGCTGCGTTTTCTTTCTAAACACCACAATGCAGACTCTAGAAACTCAAAGGTGACTGAAAATTAAGTCTACAGTCAATATAGCATTTCAGAGTTTGAAAGAGGTGCCTAGTTCTGCTGTACTGGTGTCACACTGGTCTGCTTGACTGTACTGCACTCTAAGATAGCACTTTTCATCTACACTGTTATACAATAAACAGAGCCAGACTGATAATGATTAAAGATGGATGTGTTGTGCATCGGGCTCATTTATTTGGACGCTGAAAACACTGAAAAGGTAACAGTGCATTTATTCACATTTGATTCCCTCTACTTTCTCACCGGAGGCTTTCAAAGGTTTTTACAAAGGGCCAAGGTTATCCTTATGGATCCCACGTGATTCCTAACAGTCAGTGACCTCCACTCACTTAATCACAATGGCCACTTGCTGGGCTGAACCAAAGGCCCTAGGCTATCATTTCCTCCATATGGAAAAACGTGGCGAAACACTGCTCCACCTACCTTCACTCCATGGCCGATGTCGTCCAGCATGGCGTAGTCGATGGGCTTGCGGATGTAGCGCACGGGCCGTTCGGGGTTGGCGGGGGCGATGATCTTGTGCGTCCTGGAGGTGTTCTTGTTGGTGGTCAGGATGCCGATCTCTCTCCTGGCCACCTTCTCCTTGTGGATGTCCACCGTCTGGAAAAGGGGAGAGACCGGAAAAAGCCACTTTGCCATAATAAAGGGATCCGTGCCAAATCCCATCGGGCAAGCAGAAGGCAGAAATCGGTAAATGAACGCTGGGGATGATTTTAAATGAGCCTCTTTCAAGCATTAGGCCAAAACATTACCGAAGTGGCCTGCTTCAGTCACGGCATGCCACTGCAGCAAAAACGTTTCTGTCGATTCGAAACAATAAAAGAATATTTATTTAACATAAACATCTACAATTAAACAAGGCTAATTCATGGCACCCTTTCTTTCCCCTTCAGCACGTCATGTTTTAATCGAAGTGACTCGACCACAATTTTTCAGGGGTTCCAATACGCTGGCTGAATAATTCAGCCGTAGGGAACTACGAACAAAAAGAACACCTGCCGAAACACATCAACTCGTGGGTTCAGAGGTTAACATTTCTTGTCAACTCCCCCCCCAGAAAAAATCTTTAATTGACACCTGGTGAACAGGAACCTTAGGATTTCAGACAAATGAAGGTGGGACTCTCATATTCCAAGCCCTGTGGGCCTGTTCTGTTCCTGTCCCATTGTAAGAGTCTCCTTATTCCCCCAATCCTGAGAGTTTCGTCCTCACCTCCACCATGGATGAAGTCACTCCTGTTTAAATTCTGTGGGCTTTTTCCATACGAACGCTTCATGTATTTCAGCCCAACAAAGATACTCCTATACCTCTAAGACAAACCGAATTTCACAGAATGCTTCTGTCTGCAAAAGCTTTTTTTTTTTGGCACATCTGGATAGAATACATATTCAAAATCTAAATGAGTAGTTTTGGCTTTCCAGAATCTACATTTGTAAGAATAAGAATGGGACTTCAGTTTTTTAGAAGAGCATGCATCAACAGGGAAAACAAAATCATTTGTGCGATATAAGAACATTACAGACAAGAGGAGACCATTCTGTCTGCACATTCTGTTCCTCAAGCCCGTTAAGTCATTACCAGTTAATTGACCTAAGGGTCTCATTTCTGAAAGAGACCAGGGTAACAGCTTCACCTACACGGCTGGGTAGCGTGTTTCATCCCTCCATCAGAACAGCTTTGCAAAATCAAGTTCGTAAGGATAAAAGTCACATAAAACTGAGAGGATTTCATATATAGCAAAGAGAGCTACTCTATGTGTGAGGTCCAACCTTCTTTACATAATATGCACTACATTAAATAATGTGGGCATTTGGGATCACTTTTTTAATGTGAAAAAGAAAAAGAGATGTCTAATTGATGAGACGATTGCATTCCTGTGCTTCTTTTTAAAACCAGCATAGAAATGAAGACATAATCGATGTACCAGAAGACACAGCGCATTCAGAACTGCAAGAGCCATGCTGCTCAAATACATTGTGAAGTACAGAATGAATGACATGCCATTAAAATTTAAGAGAATCTACAAAAACTTCCATCATCAGCCAGTATGGGCCTGGCTCTAGACTGGGAAACTAGATAACATGATGTTTGAGCTTCTAATTTTAGTTTTAAAATTTGCACAGTGCCTGAGTCAGAGAAGAATGAATTTTTTATGCATTGGAGGCTCAGCAGTTTAATTTCACAGTTTAATTCATAAAAGAAAGATAATGTCAGAAATTAGCAAGAAACAACTCGAGAGGTTCTACATGATGAAAGCAACTCTACATAATCCATTTATATGATGGAGGAAGGCTGTAAGGACACAATTTTTGATAATGCAAAGAAAAGGTTCAGAAACCGTAGCTGTGACTTTAGAAATGTACATACTGAGATTGTTAAGAGAAAAAGCTTTTCAATTATTTTTTTATGCTCGCCATTTTCTTACACATCTTGAAATGAACAGCTTGCATGAAGATAATTTAAATGCCAGTTAAAAGTGAACATATCTTTTATCTTTGGTACTTAACGATGATACAAAAATTAAAACATCGGGTCATTATATAAACAACTTCATCGTTTTTTAGAAAGCTGCTTATTTCCAGTAAGCGTCACAGTTACTTTAAAACCTGCGTAGAAAGCACAGGTATCAAGGTGGGACTATACACAAGACAAATTTCAGCCTAAATAAAGACATTTTATGTTTGGACAAAAGTACTTCACATTTTTTTCCAGAGTTTGTAAAGTTACAATGAAAACCTACTGTTTTTAATAATTAAAAAATGCAAGTCTGGCATCACAGAACTGCAGTATAAGCTGTAGGCTCTCCTCAGTCTAGATAAAAAGGGATTTATTATATGAAAGGTTTTGCTGGGACTTATATGACTGTGTTTGAGAAAGAAAGCCACAGCGTGTATTGAAGACACCTCACAGGTTTTGCTCCAATCCAGTTATCAGCTAACGGGTAAGCAACTGGTACTGTAACTTGTTACTCTTTAGAAGCTCTGTTCTGCAAAAGGTAAATGGCAAACTGTTTTTTAATTGCTTAATTTCCAAAAAATGATGTAGAGGAATCTGGAATTTCCAGGTACAGCACTCAAATTGTTTGTGGCTTTCAATGTCTCATATTCAACCACTTAATGTGTTAAGGTATAAGCGGTTTTGCTTTAATGTATGTTCCTTAAAAGTTGCCTCTACTTCTGTAGCCGAAACGCTGATCAAAGATGTCTGGTTGAGAAATCAGGAAGGCTGGGGGTGCAGCAGAGGTGAATCAAAAATTCTGCAATTTGTTTTGCTACGCCAAAGACATGGTAAGAAAATCGTGTTTTTCAGGTGTCATTCATAAAGAAACACTCTTTATGTAGGGCTAACTCACAAAAATAGATATTTTTTCAACATTTGTATACCGGGTGTATCAGTGATTACTGAAAGAACTCTGAAGATGACAAAGTCACACAAAACCAAGAAGGTTGTTATGTGAATAAGCATGATGGACTAAATGCCCTTGGCTTGTTAGTAACCTTCCTCAGGGGTTGTAAAAAGTGCAGGGAATACAGCCTACTTACAGAAGCCATAAGCATGTATAAGACTCATTTAGATCTTGGTATTTACAATACATTACAGAGACTCAACAACAGTCATATTTGATTCACAAGCTCTGCTAGCAAATTCGAACTTGGGCCTTTTGAAAATTTCATCCAAGTTCTAGCCCTGTCACTCATGGAACACCAATTGAATTCTGTCTTTACGGTCTGTCTAATGTTTCAGGCAGAGTAGCATTACACAGTACATTTTTAATGGGTAAGATACACCTTCCAAAGATAAATGATCCTGGAAGTCCACTTAGCTTCTACAGGTAGTTCAGGTAGGGAGCTGCGTCAGCACGCACAGGTTGTAAAGGGACAAGTAAAGGTTTATTCCACGCTGAAAAGAGAAGAAAAGAAACACAATGTCTCACCTGTGGAGCTTGAAGTAATACCTCAATAAAAACTCCACGGCCATTACGTTGTGTCTTTTCTTCTCTTTTGTTCCTCTTTTGTTCCTTCATAGCTACTACAGGTACATATTAAAACAGCCCCAAGTTGTGACTGACATTTTCAGGAGATCCTGAAGAGTTAAGCAGGGGAGATTACGAACACTATAATTATGAGAGAACACAGACAAACCCAGGGCATTGTGACCTCTCCATGAGCTCAAAACACATACATGTCCATGACCAGTTAGAATCAGGCCCACACTAAAGAGATTTCAGGCGGAAGTGTACTTAAAACAGAGAGCATAAACACTTCTTTACCTGTGAACTGTGGGAACAAGCTACTCAGCCAAACTTTTGAAGCTGATTTCCTTCATGAAACAGCAGGATGACATCCTCAGATCAACTACTAAATCTCGCCAGGACAACCGAACAGCCTCTTCACATGTGTAACTGTTCTTATTTTCTTCCAAGCGCAGACAGGTTGTTTGGCCTTTTCCAGACTCACATAAAATTTCCATTTCTAGTTCAATGGCATTTCCCCATTTGGTTTATCACACACAATGCATGAATTAAGTTCCAAGCCATAATCAGATAGACAATTTGGGAAAACGCAGAGCCCTTGTACCGATGAAGTACTACATATTACCTGTTATTTTTTTTTTCTTTCTCATCTAAAATAGGTGTTCGAAATGCCTTGAGCCTACAATGAAAGAAAAAACAGAGACTACTGCCGTGGCAGTTATACTGTATGAAGTTTGTATGCTTATTAATACATATACTGTACACACGTTTGTTAACTGATAGAAGCCTTTTTTTATTTCAAGCATCCAAGCCTAATTCCAAAAGCAGAGGTACAATACTGCTGGCGTTTCTTGCTTTTCCATTAAAATCATTTCCCAGCATCGAAACTAAAATGGCCAGTACAATGTAAGAGAGCAATTAGAAAGTGCTGATAGCCAATTACAATATATTATCCAAGACAATTTTTTAAAGTATCTTCCAGATAATTCCTCTCTGACATCTGTTCTTTATGAAGTGGAAAGAACAGTAGTTTAACATTCTGCCAGGGGAAGGGTTTGCTCAAGTAATTAGTAGCAGCACAAACAGGAGCGCTGTGAAGAGATTTCGGATGAGTTTTAATTTAATTGAGGCCTTCGTGTTGACAGCCCTTTCAAGCTCAAATTCTAATCCTAGTGAGCTGCTGACCTTTCAGTTTCAGTAGAATCCAGCTGTCATCTGTACATTAGCATTACAGCGGACAGCAAGGATACGTTCCCAAAACACACATCTACTGTACTTTCTGTTGTTTGTGAGAGGGGGAGGAACAGCTTTAAGAAAAAAAAGCACTAGCAAACTCACTTACGGCCATTACCGTCTTGTGCTGCTAGTTTTTTGGCGATTCGAAATCCATGCCATTAAATCTCAACGCAATAAAACAATTACATTTGGCCTATCAGTCCTATTTGGTAGTTATTTACACAGTTGAATTTCCTGAAAGAAACCAGGGTAATGGCTTCAATGTCTGGGTAGCCTGCTACATACTCCTACAGCCCTTGGTGTAAAGGTGAGCTGCCTGGTCTCAGTTGTAAATTATCTTAAATACAGTTTCCACTGATGGCTGCAGCCTCATCAAATCAATCAGATGCAGACGTTCATTACATTTCATTGGGTAGATTCCTAAAGCAATATGGAGAATTAATTTCAGCTTCACAAGCGTGTCACAGGTTAGTGCCACAGACCTGCTATTGTCAGTCTAATACACTAGAAGACACTTAGACAAGACTGCCCCTGCATTTGAAATCAATAACATTCGTAATATCACAAATTATTAAAAAGGAGTTAATTCTGAATGCACACGAAATCAGGATGTATTTATGACACATTATGACATTTATTTATAGTTTCCCCTTTGATCTATTTTTGGCTCTCCCCCGGACTCTTGTGTGACTGGACAGACACATCAAATACATTTAAAATTTAAATTTCAAAATTACCAAAGCAAATTTCTTCAAAATGAGGCAAAGCCATTGAGAGATCATGCTTTTGGTCCTGTAGAGCCTAAAAATGGGACTTTTACCCTCTCCTCTTCTCTCACCTAACCGTAATAAAGATATTGCTGTTTCCAATCAAAACTCTATTATTTAGCTTTATATAACCATTACAGTTGCCTGAACACATCTAATATAATCATTGAGAATTTAAATAACCTTCTTTTCAATCATTTTGTTCATTAATTGAAAACTGTAAAGCAAAAGTATCAGAAAAATCAATTACATTTAAACCAACACAATATGATTCGCACTCCCCTTATTTACATTTTACTTATAAACCGAACTCTAAAAAAACCTTTTAGTTTCTACTGTGTAGCTACTCAGTTATTTTTATGTGAAACTGCAGTAGCAGACTCATTTGAACTTGTTTTTATTTGTCTTCTGTGTGACAGACATACCTTAACAGCAGAGCTAAGTGCTGGTAAGAAATGCCTTCATAAAAACGATTCTGATCACATTATACAAAGAGCCCACACTTTTTTGAGGATGTAACATATTCGAATTTTCAGAGTCTGAAAATTCAGTGAGGTTACAACTGAATAAAAGCACATCCAAAAACCAACCAGTGGCATGGATTTTCATTTCAAAGTCCTGACTGACAAAAGGGAGCTGCATACAAATTCTTACGTCAGCAACATACTCCAATAACTTCATCAGAATTACTAATACTCCTACAATGAGCACATGTGCGTCTGATGCGCTTACTCTTCAGAATATTCATATCAAAGAGAAATACGTTGGAAGGTTTTTTGTCCACATATTCCAAGGGAACCTGATTTAATTGTTTAATTAAATTTAATTAAAAGAAACCCTCCAAAGTGGATTTGACAGGATTATGCAGAAATGTCTTGATGTCCAAAGTTCAGAGGAATGATTGCACACAATGTGAGAGCTTCAAAGAAAAAAAAAGATATTACTATGTGACTGTAGTTGACTCCTAGCCAGGCTTATGAGACTTCTTTTCCCTGAGGGTGCTCTTCAGTCAATAAATTCCACTTTGTCTTGAGAGGGGGTTGTTATGATTAAAAACACTGGTGTTGCATCCTTATTCAAAGCTCAAGTACACAGATCATTCACTCTTCCTGGTTAATACATGATGGTGCATTGTGTTTTGCAGATGCAAGGAAATCTTTTGGAAGTGTTCAGGCTATGTGACTTCACAATAACGCTTCAAAAAACAATTCAATAATCTTGTATATTTGACCACAGCAATGTTATTACTGGCGTTTTTGTGTGGCGATTCTTTTGGATTATTCATTTGGAATAAATATCATTGTAAATTATGGGATAATTGGAATAAACATTTCCGATTATCCCAAACCAGGATTATATTCAATATACTTCACCTTTTGAACAATTATTTTAGGATGTCTGTAAAACCTAATTTAGCTTCCAAGCATGGTGACTGGTCCAAATTTAACGCCACATACGCCATCAACTTCAAATTTTCCACGCATTCCACTCATTTGATTGATAACCAGAATCTGTGTTTTTTGCCATGTGGTCATTATTTCTGAAGTGAAGTCTATACCTGAAATACAGAGCCATGCTATGTGCTAATTAATACGGTCAGGACAGAATACAGAACAATATTCCCTTTAGAAATTTTGACACCAGTCAATTTGCCATCAGACTGAAAGATAAATGAGTTTCAAAACCCACAGAGCCACAGAGAACTCATATTTACAGTTCAGCAAAAGTTTCTCAGCTCATGAAGCTAGACCATCCTAGCTTTTACGAATGAGCACATCTCTACCTTCTCTAAAAAAATATGTAATTTTCCCTGACAATGTAATTTCCACATGCAGGTCCAAAATGAGACTTTTTGCCATCAGACATTCTCATGCATTATCAATCGGTGAATATTAAAAACCATAAGCCGCGAGGTAAATGGGGGGAAAAAAAAGTCAAAACACTAATCATAGACTAGGCTTTTCCACACGATATTGGGTTCTTGACTGTTTCTAAAAATGAAATTCATTATTTAATGTTTTTTGCAAAGAAATAGCCTAAACTGTTCGCTGTAGATACCACAAAAAAAACTAAATTTTAGCATTAGCACAAGCTCATATGCCAATTATAGGAAGAAGGAGGTGTTCGTTATTGAATAAAAAACAGAAGTGCAAGCAATAAGATTATGTTATTATACTTCATTCAGTATATACAGGAGGTTACTGGGAACGACTGCACATATATATATATAAATAGCCTGATGTTCGATGACGAACGACTTGACATTAGCCAGAGGCCGACAGCTGCATACATCCAACCAGTTGGGCTTTTCAGAAGCTGTGGGCCTTCCTAGATTAAACATCTGAATAAGAAATGGAATACTGCAAACATGAGGTACTTTCAGACAAATACTCATGAGTGTCAGGAACACTCGCTGATGCAGTCAATGTTAATTCACTAGTATTTTAGGATTATTTAAACCACCAGAAAATTAAACAAGTGAGAGGGGATGAATGGTCTTCTCTCATTTGTAACTGTTCGTGACAGACTGTACCCTACTGGGGCCGTCCCAGGGGCCAGAAACTCTCAATGGAAGCCTTTTCATGCCAAGACGGCTAATACATTTAAAAAACACCCAACTACCCCTAACACCATAAACCTCCTTCAAATACTAAAAGCCTCATTACACCCCTGGAAAAATGTGGAATCCTAACTCCTTTACCAGTTAACCAACTATCTTACACATCTCAAGTGTGACTATTTACAAGTATCAGAAGCTCTATAGTGGCCTCTAGTGGCAGGACATCCGCAATTACAACCCCTTTCTGTAACAGACCAGCCACATCGTTCTCTCATTTTTCTCAGGGCTCGCAGTATTGGTGCCAGCAGAAGCACGGCCTTACCTGGGAGATGTGGTTGATGGACGATTCCATGCGGCGCAGCTGGGACGCCTGGATGTCCAGCATCTGTAGGACATTGTTGGCTAAGGTGTTGATCAGGTAGGCAACGCTCGCCAGCGACTGCGTTGTGTACGCTTTGGTTTCTTCGAGGGCTCGGTGTTTATCTACGGCCTGCAGAGGGAACGGGAAGACAGCGGGTGACAGGTCAGCTCTGCAGGAATAAGCACAGTGACGGATAACCGGCTGCTGTGATACACGTGGCATCAATAAGGTGATTAAAATAACTGAAGCATTAATGAGCCTTCAGACCTGTCTTAAATAGCATACTGTCCCTGAGGGCTTGAGCAACTGCACTGCAGTATATTGGTCAAAAACACAAAATTGTAATGAAAAACATGAAACCAAAGACTGAAAATGTATAGCTTGAATTAAAGTACCTTGATTAATGTACCAGCGTTCTAAAACCTTCCAGTCTGGTTTGGTCAAAAGGTCACTTTTTTGGGGGGCAGTATCCGTTTTCTGATTTGACGCCGTCTAGTGTTTTAAGACTCGTCTGTCCTGTAACTGCTTTGACAGGATGAGACATGTGGACAGCCCCCCTCCAACAAAGCCATTTATCACTGGATACACTGCAAACTCTGCAGTCCCCATCTGGAGGGTTAAACACCTCTCACTGATGTCACATCAAGTCAGCTTGAAGGTCACAGGTTTGCCAGAAAGTCAAGCGAACCTCCATGATCATACATCAATTTCCCTTCGGGATCAATAAAGTCTTATCTATAATCTTACCACGGAACTGTGCGTTTTGAATTTATAGGGAGACTAGAGCCAGTTCTTCTCACATATTGGTGCAAAGAAAAAAACACCACTGTATCACACGTGTGGCATTTCACGTGCTGTATCGGATCTACAGCCCCAATAACGTTCTATATCTGCCCACGGTGCTGAGGAGAGCTTTAACCTGCATCACAAGAGTGGGAGCAGCGATCTCAATTCCTTAATTCAGTGCTGGAGGAGATGAGACAGGAGTAAAACATTCCCAATTCCTGATCCGAGACCACTCAATAAAACAAAATGAAATCAGTGATCAAAAAGGAAGGGTTTGCTGCAACCACAACTCCTCTCTATAACTCTATATTACACTCCTAAGACTCTGTTTCACTTCAAGGGAGAAAAACTGTTGTGAAGTTGTTGGAACATCTAACTGGTACACATACCTAAATACAAACTGCAGCTCTGTTTACTGTTCACCTCTCAGTTCAAACATCCAGTGATGTTTATCATACTCAAGACACAAGAAAATACTACTAAAATGTATTTCCAAACCCCTCTGGTACCCCCACTTCGAAGAAATGAAATACAGTTTCATTACGAAGCACCACTCAGCCGTTAAACTGACGACAACAAATGGCAGCGACAATGTCTGAGAACAAGCAGCTGAGTGAAAGAAAACTATCGCGTTCAGGCATGGCTGACCAAAACACAGAAAACGGCCATTTAAAAACTGAGAATGAAATAACTCCTGAAACAAAAAGGGGTATTTCATCTTAGCTCCTCGACGTACCCTGTGCTCTATGATTAAACTCCTGCCTGCCATTTGAGGTTTCATCACCCATCATTGTAAAATACTGGCCTTGGAAATGACTATCAAAAAAGCAGTAAGCGTTATATATTTCTCCCCTCCAAGTCCATCAGCACCAACTGTTCCTTTGGCAGACTGATATTGTAAGCATTCCAATACGCTTGTCGTATATGGCAAATAAAAAAAATCTTGAATCTTGAATTGTGCTCCTTCTCAAACTAATACCTTGTCCTCTAGAGTAGACTATGGCTGAATGTAGCTCAGTGCAATCCAATTACCCAGTCACCAGCGTTTGGAAAATTGCTTTAATTTGAAATAAAAAGGAGTTTTCAGGCAAATGTCTAATTTACGAGGACAAATGGATTCAAATCTTTCAGCTGCTCTGCGGAAGCACATTTTCCTGCTTTTAAAAAAAAAATCAAATCTGAACAGTTTAGGAACTCCGTGCTGATTAAAGTCATTCAATCTTGATGGCTAAGCCGGAAACAGGCTCTAGGCAGAAAGGATCGATTGTGACTGAGCCCTGCAGTAGAGATCACAACGCATGTGGCTGGGGTGGAAAAATTGTGTCCACACACACACACACACACGGACTCTAACAAAGTACAACATCAATGTTAAAGTCAATCCTGCTAAAAATCAGAAGAACAAATAAAGTAGATTCTGAGCAATCTAGATGCTAAGAATACCTAATCCTTTCAAGACACGTAGAGTGTCAAACCCAGTGCTGCGATGTTTTCTAATAGTGGTTATTAAAACGTGCTTAAGTCAACCAATTGCTTTAACTTTTAACTTTAAACTGCTTTAACTTTAAGCCTTTTAACTTAAGATCACTCCTCATAGCCTGGCTGACATGTTATGGCATATTCTATCCCACAGGATTCACTTGGGACTGATTGTGTGCTGGTTTGGTTGGGCCACCTGTTGTTTTATAATCGGCTGCCATTTTGCAAGTTGCAATCGAGTTTTTGCCCAGCAGTTAAGGGCGGACTTCGAAAAAGGCAACTGAATTCAAGAGCTCACTGCTTCGAAAGTTTAGAAGCCAAGATATGAATTAACGCAATAACGTTTTGCTTGTGTGCCCTCGATTCACTAGAAAGGGATGAACTACTGCAGCGTTGAGGAAATATTCGGCAGAAAACAGAAAAACTTTGTGGGTCCCTTTAAACCTCTGCTCAAATTCGGAAAATATCGCTAGGCCGTAACGTGTGTACTGCTTAATGAAGGAAACTACATTAAAGATGATCAGGCCAATGAAATGCTGGCTGTACACCTGTGATTCAAGAGAGCTTATAATACACAGCCTTCAGAACTCCAGGCAGACAGAATTTAAAAATAAACAATGCTGTACTGAGGGGAAAGCGGTAATTTCTAGAGTGCATCAACGGGATGATTTGTAAACCACAGTCGGCAAAAATGGAGGCCAACGCGTCAGATTAGAATGACCAGGCTGTGCGTGGAATTTCAGGGGATCAGCAATTCTGTCTAAGCGGTATTGTGCTGGAGGCAGGAGACACATACCCAGAAGCCCAGCGCTGTTTGAATACCAGCCTTTGTCCCAAAGTACCAGACGAGCACTCGCACAGTGTCAGCAGTACCAACCAGAGAGAGCACGTCCATCACACATTGGCTGATATCAGGGAGGAAAGAAGAACATCATCTGCGTTATCCTCACCAGAGAAACAGGAGTCTCTCCCGCTGTCTTCAGCTTCAGGGGCTCTCTACAGTTTCTATTTGCAGACTCCTTTTCTAAGGACCTTAGAAAATCTCCTGTCAGTTCTTGGATGTTAAAAGCTGCCAGCAGATCCCACTTTGTGAGAGATTTTACGCTTTACCAAAACTGCTGAGGGACTTGAGAAGCTCCCTTTTGATTCTGGGGACCGCCAGGGGACCCATTGCTCCAGTTAGTTCTGCTGCTTTAGGAGGGAAAGTAAGTTGTCAGCTGTTCTCAGATGACACATGCCTTCTGGAAACAGTGTGCCGTACCAGAGTACAGAAATTTATTTTTGTTAGTGAAGGAATCCCACCTTAGTCCTGCCGGTACATTAAAAACTCAGCAGCTCAGGGGCAACAAAAAAGGACGAGAAATCTGTGGACATCATGCTCTTAAGTAAACACCTGAAATACGGATATGAATTCTGAGCATCCAGTACAACTTGTTTACTATACACCTCACCAGACTAACTCACTGCATATTTAGTACGTAATGTGGGACATGCTGAACACAGTTTCTAAGCTTTAATCTGTTATTCCCGATTGTGCGACAGTTCCCATATATACGTCAGTGAGTTTTCAGTTGTCAATTCCCAGTATGTCTCCTTTCTTAGGTAGCTTTAGCATAATGCCAGTTGGGATCAGTCACAGCCACCCTGGCACAACAGCACACTCACTGCCAAACTGTATCCAGGGATCCACC